CCTCCTGCTGTTTTCCTCCTATTAGCTGCTTTGACGCGCTGAGCTGACACTAGCGTCCGAAGTACAGGGCCAGCAGAAGTAACTCCTGCTTGAGTGTGGTTGGTAGGGTAATGATATGGGTCTAATAAAGTATAGTTTTAATTTGAGCATTTCACCTAAAATGTCAGATGGTGTACTTGAGCGTCATATTGTTATGTCACAGAATTGCATACTTATTGTTTTGTAATAAAAGATTTTGTAACAAAAAAGGGGCATTATTTGTGCTGCCCCCCCGCGCATCCTCAGGAAGGAGAATGAGTACTCCGGGGACCTGAGTGACACATGAGAAATGGCCGATGAGACCATTGTGAGAGCTGACTGTTAAAAAATAACATTTCACGGGATTGGATACACTCAAAATATAACAAAAGGAAATAGCATCTCTGTCACAGAAATCAAACTAAATATCTTTTTCACCCTTTGATATTCCAGTATATTATATAGCGTGCTATTTTAGGGGTCAGGAGAAATGGGGACCGGGTTTTAGTTGTTACACTTGTTAACTTTGTGACCTTGAAATTGCCAGATGACCTCTCGGGGCCTCAGTTTACTCATCTAAAAGGTAGTCCTCTATATGCCTCACAGAGTCCTTGAGAGGACGAAAAGGTATAAAGGCAAGCGCTTGCCAAGTCACACCCAGATTGGGCTGACGGAGGATGACGCGGGCTGGTGGCAGGGATGGGAATGGATGGATTCTTGTAAATTGCATTAGACCTCAGACACCGTTGTTTTATGAATGAGTCTGTGATCTGTGGGAATAGTGGGACACCCAAGGGAGTCACTTAGGTGCTGTTAATGATGCTTAAATGATTCGGTAATTTAAACTCCTAGAGAAATGCACAGATAGAGTGAAGGCAATTGTGTTATTTGACTAATTATCATTAACAAGGATTAAAAAGGTCTACATGGCACCTAGGAGGGTCAGGGTCCCCCTCCAAAAAAAGCAGTCCCTTTTTCCACCATCGTTCCAGATGATGGAAAAAACAGACCTTCCATAGGTCCACCAAAAGCAGGGATGAATCAACTTGTTGCAGTTGTTAGTTTTAACACATTATGCAACATAACACATTGATTTGACCTGCCTAAATTTGTCAATTTCCAGGGCATTCCATAGGGTTCTTTCAAAAAATGACTTAAATGCCTCACCCTAAATTTGAAAGAGGCTTTTTTTATGATGGGGCACACTGCATCTTCAGAGGTCACAAGGCTGATTCCAGAAGCTCTGTGTTCATTCTTTGTGACTGGGTGTCAGTGTTTAAAGAAATGGTAAAAATGGAGCCACAGCAGGGATGTTAAGATCTCCCTTCTTTTTACATATTATTGTAGATAGAAGGGCAGCAATGATACAACGATTTTTGTATTTCTATATGTTCTTTTTTTTAATTTTAATTTATTTTTTCAAATACATTTGTCTTTGCCTACCCCTCACCACTTTCCCTTGCCCCCTCCCTCCCCCCCCCCCAGCTCTTCCCCTTTGGTTTTGTCCATGAGTCCTTGCTATATGTTCCTTGACTTTCCCCTTCCCTTCCTTTTCCCCGCCCACCCCCCTTCCCTCTTGTCTCTGTTGATTTCTTTTCCTTTCAGTGTTGCTGGTTTTATTTTCCTTGCATCTTTGTATTGTTGGTTAGGTTCCACTTATAGGTGAGATCATATGGTATTTGTCTTTCGCCCCCTGGCTTATTTCGCTTAGCATAATGTTCTTTTTAAATATCAAATATTTATAACCATTATTTGGGAGCTTCCCACAAGACTAATGAAATAATTGAAATGAGCATATTTTTAAAATCTAATTCGCCAATAACCTAAGTTAAACAACAGCTTTAGCTATTAGCAAAAGGGAGTAGATGGACACTAAACCTGCTGCTGTATTGATTACCCAAGAAATTCAGGAGAAATTAAGTGTTTTCACCTATGGCCTCTAAGTAAATGCCTCAATTCTCCATTTAAATCTTTGAAGATGTACCTGGGCTCTTCCCATAAAGTAATTAGTAGACGGTAACTCAGACTTGTAGGTCATCTATTCGTTCATAATGAATTGCTTGCTGTTCTGTGCTGCGCTAGAATACAAGGGGAAGTGCATTCATCCCAGTTCTTGGGCAGTTCATTTCTCTGAAGACATTAACATTTGTGTTTATGTCACGACTGTCTGTCTGTTTCCTGGGTCATCACCTCATAACTAGGAACGAAATGATTTATCTGAACCTCTGCATTGCTGTAGTCATTGACAGAGAACAGACTTTCTGAATACGCACTGATAGAACCATAATTAAAATGACCTATAATGACGGCTATCTTTTTACCTTGATGACTTTTATTAGCATTTGATCAGAATGATCAGCTGTATTTAAAGATTCTCCTGGTCTCACTTTTTAGCAGAATCATTGTGTTAATTAGTGTTAAACAGGCCGTTAGATCCTGCAAGCTGCCAAGAGTCAATCAATGCCCTGAGGGTCTGTGTATACAAAGTGGGCTCTGGGTCTCATGAGGACGCCTAATATAAAGTACTGATTGGCTGTAAAGAAACAAGGTTTTACTCATTAAAAAATAACATACTGGAAGAATTATATCAAAATGGTACATGACCGGTTTGCTAAATGAGGGATATAGATAATATTTATGGTGTACTTCAATGACGATTAGACTTTAAACTCAAGATTTATGAAATGGCATTCTGCATATGAAATATTTCAGGAAGATAACCTATAATTACAGACAAAATTTCAAATTACATGCCATAGACAAGTTTAGGGTATGTTTATGCTTGTATTATACTGTATTCTTTAGTTTTGGGCCTTTCTTTTTGGCCTTCTGTTATTACTATGTGTTGAATGAAAGAAACTTTGGATTATCATTTGTTAGTTGCTGTTCAAACCTAGTGTTCAAAGTGGAAATAACATCTTTATTAGGAGTATAAATATGTAATGAGACGCACTTCATACTGGCCTCTAAGTCTATAAATATCATTATAACTGAGCAATTAGGAAAAAAAAGAAATAAAAGGCATCTGTATTAGAAAGGAAGAAGTAAAACTCTGTTTGCAGATGACATGATCATGTATATAGGAAATCATAAAAAATCTACATTCCCTCCCAAAAAACTATTAGAGCTAATAAATGAGTTCAGCAAGATTGCAGGATACCAGATCAATATAGAAAAATCAATTGTACTTCTACTAATGACCAATCAATCCCAAATAAAATTAAGAAGACTTCCATATATAATAGCATCAAAAATAATAAAAAGATTGTAAGGCTTATACACTGAGAACTGTAAAACATCAATGAAACAAATTAAAGGAGAACTAAATAAGTGGAAAGACATCCTGTGTCATGGATTGGAAGACTGTTAAGATGGCAATAGTCCCCAGGTTGATCCACAGATTCAGTACTATCTCTATCAAAATCTCAAGTGCCTTTTATTTTTTGCAGAAATTGACAAGCTTACCCTAAAATTCATATGGAAATGCAAGGGATCCAGAATAGTCAAAACAGTCTTGAAAAAAAATAAAGTTGGAGGGACTCATTCTTCCTAATTTCAAAACTTGTAACAAAGCAGTAGCAATCAAGACTGTAGTACTGACAAAAAGATGAATATATAGATCAATGGAATAGAATTGAGAGTCCAAAAATAAACCCACACATTTATGGTTAGTGGATTTTCAATTCATAGTTAAATGGAGAAAGTTAAACGGAATGATCTTTTCAATAAATGGTGCTGGGTCAAGTGGATATTCATATGCAAAAGAATGAAGTTAGAGCACTAGCTCACACCATACACAAAATTAACTCAAAATGAGCCAATAAGCACATGAATATGTTCAATGTTGTTAGTCATCAGGGAAATGCAAATCAGAACCATGATGAGATACCACATCACACCCATTAGGATGGCTATCATGACAGAACAAACACACCAGGTGGGAACAAACGGTGGCAAGGATGACGAGAAATGGGAAGTCTCCTATGTTGCTAGTAGAAAACGGTACAGCTGTTTGAAAGAGTTTGGCGGTTCTTCAAGACATCAATCATAGAGTTACCATATGATCCAGCAATTTCACTCCTAGGATATACTCAAGGTGAACTGAAAATGTATATCCATGTAAAAACTTATACACAAATGTTTGTAGTGTCATTATCCCTAGCAGCCAAAAAGTGAAAACAATTCAAAAGTCCATAGACTGATGAATATGTAAAGAAAATATGGTATATACTTACAAGGTAATATTATTCAGCCATATAATGAGGTAACTATGAATTCATACTCCAACATGGATGAACCTTGAAAACACTTTGCTAAGTGAAAGAAGCCAGACACAAAAGACCACATATTGTATGATTTTATTTATATGAGAAGTCTGGAATGATAAAGGCAAAACCATAGAGACAGAAGGTAGATGAATAATTTCAAGGGGCCAAATTCATGAGGGAAATGAAGAATGACTGATAAAAGGTGCAGAGTTTCTTTCAGGTGATGAAGTGTTATGGAATTAGATAGCGGTGCTGGTTCACAACTTTGTGAGCATACTAAATTGTACACTTTAAAAGGATGAATTTTATTGTATGTAAGTTATATCTTAACTTTTAAAATTGTTATGTTTTTCCTTGAGCACTCTATACAAGTTCTAATAAAGCGTAATTATAACTTGCAAAAGAATATTCTTATTAAAGCAAGTATTTATATATTTTGTTCCTAAGGGGGGGAAAAATAAGTTCCATGATCAGCCTTACAGAGGACATGAAATGTTACCAGTTTTAAGTGTCAGTGCAGATAGCAAGGAGCCCAGCTTGTCTCTTGAGTGACACTGTGAAGGTAAATACGAATCCATCGCCTACATTCTCTCATTAAGTTCACATGGTCCTTCTTGTTTAGGCTGACCAGACATTTATTGTTCTGAAATGGAGGAAAGCATCCTGCGTATTTTAACCCCAAAGCCTCACCTTTGCTCTCTCGCTCTGTCCCAGGTGCTGCCCTTCCCGAGCCAGGTGGTGTACAACAGAGTGGGCAAGTGTGGGAGTCGTACTGTGGTCTTGCTTCTGAGAATCTTGTCAGAGAAGCACGGATTTAATTTGGTCACGTCAGATATTCACAACAAAACCAGGCTCACTAAAAATGAACAAGTAAGTTGTCTTTGACTACTTTGCTTCAATTCATTTGTGTAATGAGTAGGTGCCTTAAAAGACTTCCTTCAGACCCCTGACAAATGAATACCAGAGTTGCAATTTCATACTGTATTTTCGCCGGAATGTGGAAGGAATTTTAAGTGTTCTGGTGGAAGTCTTTAAGACAGGAAGTTTCCATGAAGGGATACTTTTGTTAGGACTGAAGGACAGTGTAGTCTCATCATTGTCTATTTAGCTAAAAGTAGCAATGCATAAATCTCAAACAGTTATACTCCTAAGCTATCAATAATGCTGACATCCTGGCAGCTAAAATAGAAAACTTTATTTTAATATTTCTTCTTCTGTGTTTGCTCACAAGTATTCTAGGTCTTTATGGCTATAATAGAGAGAAAAACTTCTTTGGACCACGAATCTGACTGTGGGGGCACAAGCTTCCTGTCATGATTGTCTCAGGGAATCTTGAATTTCCTAAGCAGCATTTGGCATAATCAGCAGAAGCAAAAGAATCATCCCATTTCCCAGGAACAATTCTGCCAGAATATAGCCGAGCCATGCAAGCGGACATCCTGGGGGAGAGTAGGGGTCTGTACTCTGCCCGGAAGCTATACATATAGACTCCACTTTGAAAGCTTCTTCAAAAGCAGTGTCAACAGTCTCCCCTGGGGTGCTGTGCTGATGTAGAAAAGTCAGGCCTCATGCTCTGAAGGATATTTTACAGGGTCAAGCTTGTTAACCTGTCTCACAAAGCTGCCTCTGTGCCCTTAGATACTTAGGATGAATGAGTATCTAAGTACTCACCAGTGTAATTCGGGGTTTTCTGGAGAACAGAACCAGTAGGATGGAGATATCCGTTGAGCGATCGATCAGTCAACAGATATAAAAAGAGATTTATTATAAGGAATTGGCACACTCAATAACGGAGGCTGAGAAGTCCCATGATCTGCCATCTGCCAGCCAGAGCCTCAGGAAAGCCAAGGATGTAATTGTGTTCGAAGGCCTGTGAACCAGGGGAGCCAATGCTGTAAATCCCACTCAAAGTATGAATAATATAAGACAAGATGTCCCAGCTTAACGTGAGGCAGGAAAAAAAAGGAGGAAATGCCTCCTTTCCCACATTTTATTCTATTCAGGCCTTCAAGAGATTGGGTGATGCCCACCCACAGTGGGAGAGCGATCCCCGGATTCAAATGCTAATTTCACCCAGAAGCATCCTCACATTCACACCCAGAAATGCTGTTTAATCCAGGTTCCTCTTGGCCAGTCAAGGTGACACATGACATTAACCATCGTGCCATCCAACGAGTGCATAAGTTTGGGAAATCAACAAGGCGCGTGGCTATCATGTTGAGACCATAATTATGGAAATTGCCACCCATGTCCCACTTCTTTTTGACATAATCCTCACCTTTGAGGCATTCGAAAGCTCACACACCAAGAGAATTTACAATGGCCCTTGTTTCTCTTTTAGCATGGGACTGTTTTTAGGACTGCAACATAGTACTAGTTGTAAGCCAATATATTTAGTGTCTTCTACAATATAGAGATCAATATGCCCATTCCTTTGAAAATTTCCACTAAAGAGTCTGAGTATCATCTAAAGAGTCATTAGCCATCAACAATAAATATTTTGAGATTATCCCTTGTAGATCCTATAGCAGGCATATATAGAAAAATTATATTTGTCGATATTTAAGGGCATCATATTTTATGAATAGCTTGAATAGAGGTAGGTTCTCAGATTTCCTTACCTGATTGATGAGCTAACAGATTAGGCTGGTCATGTCCTTTTGACTACTTGAAAAAAAAAGTGACTATACATTAATAGCCCTTGTCATTGTAATTTTATTATAATGATTAAATTTGGTTTCCCTTTGCGTCTTTGAGTCTGCTTATCAGATTATACTTAAACATTGTGGAAACTATGCCCAGTTCTCAGAAACCTCATAAAACATAGCAGTGCAATTTTAGTTCCCCTGCTGATTGGGCATGAGCAATACAGCAAGGTGACTCAAGTGTCAGACGCTAAGATGTCCAGGAACGCCCTAGGAGAGGGAGCACAAACTATAACATTTAAACATACTGTGCGATTTTACACAAAAAAACCTACTTTGTTTTCTATAAGGAGCCATCCTGAGAATGTAAAATATGGTTGCAACTGTCAAGAGAAGGATTTAGATGAAAAATCAATAGTAATTTACTAAAGGTGTATAAATTACTACATCTAGAAAAGGGTTAAAGACAAAGTCATGTTTGTCCTCTAAAAGTCAGCTCTCATCTGTTTGGAATGATTGGCTTGTCTGGAAGCCAGGGAATAGACTAGACAATCGTTTAAGGTTCCTTCCAGCCCTGTGATTCGGTGATATATTTATCTAACTTCTAGCATAATCTGTGTAAGATTATATAGTGTAAATTGAAACATTTCTGATTCCTGTGGTCAGTGTGACCTAGAATATCCTTCATTACTCAGTTACTCCAGATTCCTATTAAATTATAAGGCAAGTTTTAAAAACTCAAAGGAAAGGTAAAGATACAGTAGGAAAAACAAATAAGCAATTTCAAATTTCATAAGCAAATTTCATAAGCAATTTGGTAGAACCAAAGGACAGTGACAGCTGCCTCTCTGCCGCTCAGCGACCGGGCCGTGGCATGCAGAGCGCGCCAGGAGATGCCAGGACAAGAATGCAAGTTCGAAGTAGTTCAAAGACATTGAAAGAAACTTTTCCTTATTATATGTATCCTTTTACTAAAGTTTCAAGGTGGATAAAACAAGCGGAGGGAAAAAATATGACTTTAACCTAATATATGCAAGAAGTAATTTGTGGTATGAATAGCTTCTCTTCTTGGTAATTTATTAAAGGAAAGGGGGGGCGTGTAATTTAGGAGACAAGTTAAAATTTTGAAGTCAGTGGTTCTCCACATGAAATAGCAGAATTCTGAGAATGTGTTCCCATGGAAACATTGTTCTATGGCATTAATAACAATTTTACTTCAGGTGCAGCATGAGGTAGACTGGCTCCTGTGGGCTGGCCCGGGATTCTGTCCACCATGTAGAACTTTTATTTTATGAGAAAATGTGTTCCAAGTCCCAAACTGCTGACTTAAAAATGAACTGTAGAATGGTATTCACTTATAAGACTTGAATTGTCTATACCATTTTATTCATATACAATTGCACCTCTCTGTCCAGAGCCAAACTCATGCACGTGCATGCATTTCTCACTAGAGGGTAGTTGCCATCACACATACACGCACGCACATTTTCTCTCTGTACTAAATTTTTAAAAAATTATTTAACGGAATAAGACACTGAAGGGATTTTTAAAAAGACAAGGGAGCATGAAGACACCAAATGTTGAATGCCTATAAAAACCCCATCACATCTGCCCTTAGAGAAATAGAAATACCTTAGAAGTTAATATGTATTTGAGAAAACTCCGCCCCACAGAGAAGCATGAACAGCTGCTGCCGGCCCAGAGCTGGCTGGGCCTTGGCTGGGCACATAATGCAAACCCGTGGGGACTTCATTTCATGTATGCTCTGAAACCAGATTTCAGTTTCTTGGGCTAGTTTAGATACTCTCTTGGAAGATGGACACTGCATACAATTTGAAAGATAGGGAACTGTTTTCCAGAAGACAAGGGGTACGATTCCCAAAAGACTCATAACCCTCTTTGTTAATGGCCTGATGCTGTTTTTCAGAAAACGTTGCTCTTGGGACAATAAAGGTCAGCGTGTTGCAGGCATATCACAGACATTCAAAATTGTTTCATTCTTTTTGGAGAAGGGCAAAATGGTTGGCATGGGAGCCCAAAAGGTTGAAAGGCAAATACTTTTACTATTTTTATTCATAGTAAAGCACCCTAGGATTACAAATTGGAAACAGCATCTACTCCATGCTAATTATTTTACTTCATTATTTTATCAAACTCTTTAGGACCTAAAATCATACCAGTGAGTGGGGATGAATCCCTATTTCATGAATGAGAAAACTGAGACAACCAGACTGTAACTTTCAGAATAGAGTAGACTAGAATGATTACCCATGGCACCTGAACTTGAACTTAGGCCCTCCTGAATCCAAGAGCCATTTTCCTGAGATGGAGGTTATCTGTTCTGGTGGCACAGCAGAATCTCCAGCCGAGCCTTTTGAAACATATAGTTGCAATGGCCCTTCTCATGAAGTTTCCAGGACAAAGTCAGAAAACTTTTTTTTTTAGTAATAGTAAAGTGTTACAGGATATTCTATAGTAAAGAGAGGGTTAAAACTCCCTGTTAGAACTATCACATCATTTTCCTAAGTGTGTTCCTGAGCATCTAAATCCCCTCACACGCTGAAAACAAGGAAGAAAGGAAATGCTATGATTAAATAAATAAGGGAAATGCTGCCTCTTGTCCCCCTCTAAGAGATTCACAATGATTATTCTCACTTTAAAAGCTGGGAATCCTTTCAATTAAAAAAAAATTAAAAATCTGTTTTACTGGCTTTCCTTTAATGTTTCCGAGTCTTAGTTGGCCAGGAAACTTTTTATAAGTGTTTGTGGCTCTTCTGTGCATCCCACAGCTGGACAGCACATCTGCTGTGACTCTTTTCAGCAGCTATTAAGATAATCAAAATCTTGAAAAGTATTCAGAGGGTTGAAGGAGGCAGAAAACCTATGCCCATGTGCTCCAGATTGCTTTAGCTTCCTGGTCAAAAACAGAATTTCTATACAGTGTTTTCAACTTCTCTTTCCCATTGCTCTGCTCCTTGCAAGCTCTAAGTCTGACTGTGGCTATAAAGCAGTGCAACCCTAAAAAGGAAAACCTGCCTGAAAAAAACCATGGTAGATTTGGAAAAGGTCTAGAGGCCACAGGGATTCCTCCCGGACTCCCCTAAGCCAGGGTTGGCCAGCCTTCATTCAAGGGAGGAGGCTCCCTCACTGACTGTGAAGCAGCTCCCTCTATCGTGTCTTCATTCTGATGCCTGTTTATGGGGGATCTAACATCAGTGCTGCACA